CTCTTTCTCTCTCTCCTCTCCTCTCTTTTCCGCACATTCACTTCTTCAATTCGCAACTGTGCGCAATTGGGAAATCGTAACTGCAACACCGTATTGCATTATCTGCGCGAAACTGCATATAAATGCAAAAATAAATCCGATGAGACAGTGTTGTGTGTTCAATTGATAATATGGATTAATGTTATTACAATTTTAGATTTCGATGCTCCGATGCATGACAATGATCTGCACTTTGTTTTTCTCCTTCGTTTTTTTCTTTTACGCGACAAAGTAAATGCAAAGTGCGACACGACACGACTCTTCGCTCTTTTTCGTTTCCTACGACATTGAAAACAAATTTTATATTTTCTGAAGCGATTCTTCTCGATTTCAGCAATAGCTGTAAAAAAATATAGGGCGCGTTACGTAGACTTTGACGTAATCGTGAATTTAATTATACGTATCTTATTATTATTATTATTTTCATTGCACATAAGATCAGAATGCATATTCTTCACTGTTGACAGTTTCACGCGTCATATATCAAATCAGCATTATGACATCACTTTCTCTGTCGACGCGACAGAGTATGATACGGGAGAGATCGCGTAATTTTTGACATTTCGCTCACCCGCGCCTGCAGTAATTAGTTTCGTAGACCTAGGCTGCCGAAGAAGCCTAAATCGTAAATCTTAATGAAGACAACGATTTGCGATTTACGAACTCACGTGACATACCAACGAAATCACTTTGTAACGTCCGCGTCGACGACTGTATCGATCGAATGCAACTTAGAAAATCTTTCGTACATGAAACCTTGATCACGTTAGAAATCACATTGTTTAAAAATTCACATTGATTAAAAATAACGGACGATATATCGAAGAAGAATTTTATAAAACATTAGTGATATCTGTATGTTTTTATATATTCTCACGATTATTTTCCTTTATCATTTAAAGATGGATCGAATTACTTTTTACAAGATTATCGATATCTATTCTTTTTTAGTTTATTACAAATTATTATTATTATATTTATTGTAAATCTTGTACAATATTAAAAAATTTTCGATATATCTATATTCCGATACAAATGTCAGTTTTATAATTCATTCTCTTTGTAAAAAAATATGATATTTTTTTCTCGATTTACATTAATTGTTCAGTTTATTCAGATTCACTGTAAACGCTATCACGTGCAACATCGTTAAAACGAGTATTACGTAAATGAGAGAGAAACAGTTCGTCCGCTTTTATAACTGTTTTACAAGCGTTGACAACATAAAGAGCATGCAAATTGGAAACGCAACAACAATTTTACGTAAAATTTTATTTTCTAGTTGCAAACGAGGAGGGAAGCATCGTATTTAATATAAAATAAATTAATAGCCAACACAGAGTTGAAAAATCAAATGTTTTTTTGATTAAACAAAAAATTACGTGTATTATTTTTTTGGACGAGACATAATATTTTCCTGCCTGTACAATTATGTTATAAGCTAGTTTGTCGAGAACACATTAAGCTTGTTTGTCATACACTTATCATCGTGTCTAAGTATGTATTGTAGCTAATCAGTAGGCCATAATCTAAATACGCTGATAATGCTATATAATGACGTTGCATTCCACGCCTGATAAATGTGGAAATAAACATTGATTAAGAGGTCCGTGACCAAAATAGGGGCTCAATTTCATATATCCCAAGAACCGGTTTCATTTTGGTTGCCATCGTCAAGGTGACTTCTGATGTGCAAGAAATCTCTCTCTCTCTCTCTCTCTCTCTCTCTCTCTCTCTCTCGATTTTATTTGTCAAAGTCCGGATATCTTTTATTGCCGATCGACGCGACGCGCGTTTCGCGAATGAGAACCTTTCGCAAGAATAATAACGACGATAGTGACTCTATGCTGTGTAATAATAACTCGATGAGAACGATGCCAAGAGACTTTAGCGGGGAAATGAAAAGAAACGGAAGGAAAGGAAGTAGAAAAAAAAAGAGGGATGACAATACTGTCGCGGTAAGAAAAGGTGCGAGCACGACGCGTGCTTTTGAAGGGCACGGTATACGTGCGCTCGCGCATTCTTTTTTTTTTTTTCGTGTATAAATCCTTGAAGTAGTTTTCAGTAAATCCTTCTTTAACTCTCTCTGTGAGAGAACGGAATTGAGAAAAGTTTAAATTTATTTGTAAAATTTAACAATTTTCTTTAATACTTAGAAAAATTTATTTTAAAAAACAGATATGAATTACAAATGTTTAATTAAAATAGCAAAAAGATAACGGAAATTGTATAAATATATTTAAATTTAATATATAAATATCGAATGATATAAATGCAGCCAAGTGTGAGCATAACACAAAATCTTTGTGTGATTAAATTCAACATGGTTAAAATCAACTTACAGACGTTTTGATCCCAAGAATTGGATCCACTTCAGTGTGTACAGTAAAAGTAGTTGATAAGTTGTCGGTTGATATAAATAATTAAACCCAGAACATCATTAATCTATCGCTCAGTATAAATTCTTAAGAATACATCATCTGTGGTATCTCGTTGAATACTCAAACTTTACGTCTACGTTTTTCTAAAGTTATGTCAATATTATAAAACGAAAGTAATAAATTAACGAAGTTAACGAAGCAACAAATATAAAATATATATAACAAACAAAATGTATGTAGACTCACATTGAACCACAGTTAACGATGCACCATTATACAATCTTGAAATACAGATAAGTTATTATAAGATCGACACTTTATCGATTACTTTTGCTGTACACATTGAAGAGGATCCAATTATTGAGATCGAAACGTCTGTAAATTGATTTTGAATATATTGAATTTAATTACACGAAGATCTTGTGTTGGCTCACTCTTGGTTGCATTATATCATTTGATTTATTCCTTGAAGCCTGATATTACTATTAATATACATTAAAAATTTAAATATATTTAAATTAAATACATCAATGAAATATATTTTATTTATATGAATTATTTAAAAATTGTAGAAAGATGCAGCGTATGAAATTTTCGCTATGAACAACTACCAACTCTAAATGAAAGAGTCTGTAGATTCTGGAAAGAAGTATAAGAAAACTTGAGACATTCTGTACACTTTTGACGCGTGCGAGTATTAGTATATGTCCTTGGTAGCTTTCAATAAATCAGTTTTTATTATAACACTAGTATTAAAAGATATCGCAATCTAACAGTTTTTATGTCTATAATCTCTCTTCTCATATTTTCTTTTTTTTTCCTATTAAAGAATTGAAAGTACAAAAGTCAATTGTTATCGATAAACGATTTATTTATTATTTAGTTTGATGAATAATTCGACTTATCGATTGGTACAAAAATCAAACACGTCCAGATAACATATGTATCGATGTATGTAGATATATGTGGTATATGTACATAAACATGCTTGCCGGGTTTAATCGATTTCTGGATATAGCAGCATCAGTTCCCGTATCAGTTGAAGTATATCATAGATATATAACCGCAGTATATAGTTCGCTTTTCTATTAGAAAATTTATGTCGAAATATCTCGAAGTTATATGATTGCAAATGACAAAATACACAGTTTACATACTAACAAAATTCAATCTAATCGTGTGTATTGAAATTGAATACAAGTATATTATTTAAATTTCCGCGATATGCATCGTTCGTATTATACGCACTTTCCGCAAGCACACGTTACCTTTGTTATTAATATCGTATTACATTGCGCTCTCTCTCTCTCTCTCTCTCACTCGCTCACTCACTCAGTTTGTATGTGTGTGTGTGTGTGTGTTATACTCGCTCGGAATATCTAATGCAGCGTTTTCTTTGCGGAATATCATTGAGCGGCGCGTAATTGATTCGCAACACGCACAGGGGATGCGATATGGATCGGTAACAAATGTATACAGATGAAGCAAAAATCCAGCGGTCCATTACGCGTAAGGCAAAACCTGCAATTACCTGATAAATTTCTTTTACCGTCGCAAAGCATTAGACAGCAGGGAATACTCACCGAAATGAAATCTTTAAATGCCTACTAAGAGAACGCTTAGTGCGAGGTGATGTGAGTTGACGAGTCAAGTGTGCCTATCCGTTGATTCACGCGCGTCCGTATGTGTGATGTACCTGAGAGTCAAATTCCACGTATATAGTGTACGCGTATATAGCGCGTGAATGTGTGACGATGTCACCGACACGCACGCGCACGCGCACGCGCACACGCAAGCGAGGGGAACACATACGCGCGGCGGACCCTCCGCGTAGACGTGTGTGCACGTGCAACGTGGGTTAAAGGTTCCCTCACACGATGCATCGCGGCACACGGTTGAAAGTTTTTAATTAAAAGCTGGCAGCGAGATAGTCGTAGGTATTCGCTCTCTTCATTTTGAAAAATGTAACGAAAGCGGGATACATCTCGCGCTCTAGCGCTCCCAAAGTCTTATCTTTTGGCTCGTTACGCTAATTTATGAGACGCTAATTTAATCCGAAGGAACGTAAACGCGACTGAAATATTATATTCCCAACAAGAGGGAGAAATATTGCTTCTGTTAGTACTTTGCTTTGTGATATCATAAAAAATATATAACACACACACACACACACACACACACACACACATAATATAATTATTGTATAATCAGAAAATTATTTTTAAATTTTTATTTTTTTAATGCGACTATTATTCCACTATATTTATATCCTTAGGTGAAACACGATAAAATGGGAACGGCTTAAAACAAAATTGACTCTCTTGCGCGCAATACAATGTTATCCTACAGAATAAACGAATAATGTATTTTTTGTCGTCGCAACGTTAGTCCGGTTACTTTCTGTCTGCTGGATTCTTGAATCTCGGTATTATCGGACGACGTCATCCCGCGTTTCTTAATCTCCTGACCGCGGTGATTCATGCGATGTGATGAGCGCTTTAAAGCGGTTAGTAAAACTCATTCGCCGCGAATGAAAGAGAAGGAGAGGAGGACACGATGAGGGGGCGTTGCGTGAGGGGGAAAGAGAGGACGCAACGAGTTCTGGAGGAATATCATCGGAAAGCGAGACAGATGGGCACAGAAATATAGACACGGTAACAAGGAGGGGAAATGGAAGAGTGAGGGAGAAAGTGTGGGCGCGACGCGGCGCGGAGAGCTTACGTGGAATAGCTTCGTGTATGTATACGCGATTACACGCGACGAGGGTATACAATGGTGAAGGGGGATGGGATGGGATGGGATGGGGAGCATTGCCCTATATCTCGTCTTTTTTTTTTTCTTCTTTCATTTTTTTCTCCTTTCAATCTCCCGCAGTGCACGGCCACGTTTTTCCGCGTGCTGGCCGTACGCGCGTGCGAGCGAGCATCTCTTTCCACTCGCGGGAAGCTAAGAAAATCTATCTATTCGATTCGCGAGCCTATCGCGATCGTCGAGAAAGGCTAATTATATAATGCGAGCGTCGTTTTGCGCAATCGCGATCGTCTCAAATGTCAGTCGACGTGGGATATTAAATATTGTAGGTTCAGCGATTTTTCAATCGTGGCGGTAAACGAAGCTTCTCAAGATAGCGGGGAGTCTGGTATATGAATTGCTCCGATTGCAATTTACAGTTGCTTGCCGTGCGATTCTATTTTCCTTTTTTGTTCTTTCCCGTGCTCGTGCACGCTCCTCGTTCAATCGCGTTTATACCGCCGATCGTTTTTCTACCGCCGATGAAAATATTTCGACGGTCGACGTTTACGTCCGTTATGTGTAACGTGACGAGTGCGATATGCTTTTTGATGCACCATATGTTACACATCACATCGCGTTGCCGCACAGTACACGCACAGTTACATAATGGCTATTAATGATCCCGGAATTATTTATTCGTATCATTCTGATATCGTATGCATTTATTAATTTTGCGCAGCATCGAGAGACTCTCACTCTTTCACTTCTTTTCATTCGCTACGTTATTCGCTCCTTCTTCTTGCATAAATTTCTTGTTAAATGAACGCAATGTGTATCGCGAATTCTTGCAATTTCGCGAGATTGTACTCTGAATATATCGCGGATAGACGTGGCGTATCAATGAACATTGAATATCTGTAATGTTTACGTCTTTTATTGCCACCTTTGTTTTTATATGTCCGATTATCAAATTTTATTAATTTCGTACACGAAAAGAACGGGCGTTCAAGCTAATTGCTAGAATATCCAAATTTTTGGCAGCAAATGTATTGCTCTTGTCACGCTCGAGTTTGTGCCACATAATTATTATTTTGATGATCCAACAAAATTCTTTTCAAATCTACCTATATTTTTAAATACATATATTTTTGAATAAATTTATTTTTATTTCCCATGTAGGTAATTGACATAAATTTCACAAGAGACAGCAAAATAAGCATAAATTGTATTATTTTACTGAGAAATTTTTAAACATTTGGCATTTTTTACTTTATCCAGATTCAATTAATATCATATTATTTTTATTCTCTCGTTCCATACCTATGTCTTTTTTATGACGCTTTTTATGACCTTTCTCTCTCTTTCTCTCTCTTTCTCTCTCTCTCTTTCTCTCCTATCCCATCCCATCCCATCCCTCCCCCCTCTTCCTTTAATCATTCTAGAATTCCGAGTGTTCTGTTACAAGAGGAAAACAGACAACGATCATTACATAAAGCTGCAGCAGTTTCAAGCGTAATGTTACAGTATCCCCGACGGAGAGACGGATAATGCATTATTAAGAAAGATAATAATTATCCATTCACGTCATACATACATACGTGACGTATGTTTATAATTATATAGCGATGGGAAAAAATTTCTCAAAACACTTTTGGATTACGCCAGGCTTTCGAGGTGGGAAGGATATACTTTCGTCGATATACACTTTCCGCTCGCTTTATTTTTATACTCGCGTAATTAGCATTTGTTCTGTTCCCAAGGGCAAATATTTCCAAATGGCAATTGCAGGAGCGAGAGAACGTCCCATTCGTTGTTGACGCGATGCGACATAAACGTCCGGTTCC